AGCCAGAGTCAGCCCAACAAAGACTCCAATCCGGCCCATTGTACAACTATATTTTCATTAATTCTACAGCTTGTTCTGCTGACAAAGACCTCCCCCAGAGAAATTCATACTACACCATAGTAATGAAATAATGAAATAATAAAATAAATAAATAGGATTTTCTGTGAATTAAAAAAATAATTCTGCTTATAGTTAGAGGACAGTTTGGGCAATGAGCTACAAGAACTTTTTCTGTATTTTTACACATTAATTTCTTATAATTTAAGCTCAAAGAGTTGATAGATTTCTTTCATTAACTACAGCTGCATTTCTTTATCGCGTGGAGAAAACAGAGATGTACTGTTCAAATTGTACTTCTTTTTCTTACACTGAGATATTTCAGGGATTACATGTGCAGTTAAACTACTTGTAAGCCAGCTGGAAAAATGGGTGTTGGAAGTTATGGAATTGTTTTGTTTTTTTATCAGTTTTATTGTATTGTTACATTGGATACATTTTTTTTTACAGTTCCTGCTGTGCTTAGCAGGAGCTTTTATTTTAAGCTAACTAACCTCTATGTTAAACGTGTAAAGTGTAATTACATATTGCACTCATGTTATTTTCTTCATGGGTTGCAAATGTAAATTTTGATGATGCTAATCATAGTACTTGATACAGAAAATGTTATTTTGCTACTTTAGCTGTCATAGCAATGAGGAGAGTTAGTGTCCCAAGAAAACAAACTTGATTTGATAACTTTTTTGTGCCGGATTTTGTTGTAGTGTATGGTCTAAGGACACTTTAAGCTCTAACATTCATATTTTAATTTGTCTAAAACTGTGTTACGTGTGTATGTCTATTGCAACTATCATTTATATTTGTTTCTCACATTTCTATAGGCTCTCAATCACTTAGAAGACAGAACCACACATACAGATTATTATAATTAGGAGTTCTCATGTGCACGTTTATGCTTTTTAATATGCAGATGTTTTTCTTAAAGTACAGATTGCAAATGTGCCTAGAAAATGTCCAGTATTGCATAAAACCAAATACAGATTATTCTGAACCAGTGAACCTCTTCATTATACACAACATCATAACTCAAAGTAAGTGAGTTATGTTTTGAGTTCAGGACCTGCTAAAACTTTGAACTGAATTTTACATGTGAAACCTCTTTTCGTTTGGCCTCATGCCCCACAGTTCATCATATGTGACATATAAACCTCCAACATCTTGTCTCATCTTTAAAAGTTTGGTGTTTTTACAGAACTTGGGTAACAAATATTCAGTAAAGTGGCAGTTGAGAGCAGTGAATATTTTAACATGAATGATAGTCTACTTCTGCTGTAGATGCAGTTAAAAAAAACTGAATTCAGTTTAAGAACTAATGCATATGATTGTATAAACTAAACAAAAATGTAAGTATGCGTTTAAAAAAAAATGTCCATGTTAATTCTACAGCTGTGACCTATGCTGGTGCTTTCAGGGGTGATGGAGCCAGACAGAGCACTCCCTGACACTGGTAGAGAGTAATGGTGTTTGACAGGGATATTAATATTTTAACAGCCATGGAAAAGAACTCCTTGCACTCTGCTGCAGATCAGATAAAAAAAAAAGTACTTTTTAACTCTCTGGATTTTTATTTCAGCTAAAAAAAGGCCAAAGCATTAAATGATTTTGCGCACACTTCAGCGAGCAGCTTAAGGGGTAGAACTTCTTTTTCTATTGTTCCTGCCCAGGACTGACAGCATGCCAGACAAGTGAGCTGTTATAAGATCGTGAAGTGATTTACAGACGTGGAATTAGTATAAAAACAGTCAGACCACCAAAGAAAGGACTGTAAATTCATGTTTTCTTCTCTTAATCGTGAGCTTTCAAGGGAAAGTCCTGGCCATGGGAAGCTCCTTACATTTGTGGTACGATGAATGGTAGGTGTCAGTAATAAGGATAAATATCTTTGATGTCTCATTTCAGGGGCAGTATGTTGGTACAGTGAGGCAGTTTGGTTTAAACCTCCTAGTCACCTGCAGTCTTTTAGTGCAGAGGTACCAAAAAGTTTGAGTTCTCTCCTGGTACCACATCTTCACCTCCTACAGTCCCAAAACATAAGAGTTAGTTTAGTTGTTGCTTTGATTTCAAACTGTTTAGACATCAAAGTGTTCGGTTGAAACATGTACAGAAGGAGTGAAGATATATTGTCAAATTTTGTGCTATGTGTGGCAGAAAAGGCCCCCAATGGATTTGTTAAATGAAAACGCATAGCTTGATGGGGAACTCAACAAAAAACAGAAGCAAACAGAGAGTTTAAAAACATGGGAGGATATAAGGGCAGCGTGGCAACACATGTATGTATCGGTATATTAGGTGACAGGCTATCAAAATAAAACAGGAAGTAACAAACAAGGTAAACAAACATGGAGATGAGACTGATTTTTACATCACTTCATGCCTCCTGGATGCCTCTATTGGAAATGTTGGAGAGAATATGATTTTTGACTGTCTTGGGTTGACTTATAAGTTTTTCTTTTCTTTTTTTCCTGGTAAAATCCTGCTCTCCTCCTTTTTTAAGATAAAGTAACTAAAGAAAATCACCATAATTAGAAATGCATGAAGGAAGAAATGAGAAGAAGGAAGAGAATCACAGTATTTCATTTCTTGAGCAATTTTATAAAAGCCAGCAGCAGTTTCCATCGTGGAGGCTGGGGACTATGGCAAGCAGATGAAATGACTCACTTATATATTTGAGATGATAGTAATAAAGACCATCAGTCTCATTATGCCTGTCTCCTTGACCTAAGCTTGTTTGTCTTAACAGTACAATGAAAAAGAATAAAATCAATCATCTCTCCTCCACACTTTGATTTTTCCTTCTCTTTTATCTTTGCTATCACATTGAATCAACTAGACAGGCGGCTGTCGTCATATCGCTGTTCAGGGCATTTGTTGTTGAGACAGTTCGTGATTTGTGGCAGAGTGAACACACCTGCCAGACAAAAATATCTTTGAAGTCTTGCTGCTCTAGGTGAAAGAAAAAAAATGTGGAGGCAACACTTAAAGTCCTCAAATTCTGAGTTGGGTTATTTTCTTTTGATTTATTGTTAACTTTTGCTTTCACGCTGATGACTGCACATGATGAAATGCAGTCTCAACCTTTGAAGCTTTTAAGTCTCTTTTCAGAATGGGCAACAGGGAAACTTCACGTCTGCACAGAGCAGTTCCTCATGAGGACACATTATTAATCTGACACCTGTATCAGCAATGATGTCTCACATCATTGTGTTTAAGGAAAGTAGACAAAATAAAATTCAGTTTTTAGCACAGATGAAGTTAAGGTTTGATTACATTAACACATCTTTAAAATTACAAATGAGAAAGATTTAAGTAGTTGGTGAAAGTCAGTAAAAGATGATACGGAGCATTCTGAATACAACGTAATTTTTCTTTCATAAATTATGGCCCTTTTAGAAACATCAAGGAGGACAATAAAAGGTTATTGGTTTCACAAACAAATCTGACCCATGCTCATAATTTCTTTTTTTAAGAAGCTGAGATGGATCAGCGGGACTTGGTGGCTACATCCGTATTTGCATAGTATTTGCATAGTATTTGCATAGTCACTGGTCCAAAGGTTGTGCACCCATTTGTCTTTTTACATCATTTCATAACAAGTTGATATTGGCACCATCTATTCACCACATAACCAGCCAAAAGTCTCAGACTGACAGCTTAGCTAAAAGGAAACAGTTATACCATTTTAGAGCTGTAATAGCAGCAGCATTCTCTTCCTTGACAGAACTCCTCACCAGTGTTGTGGAGTTGTGTTTCGCTTGCAAGTGTTTGTTCAAAATGTAAAATTGAGCCAAATGGGAACCTCCAAGGCTAAAAAAACTATGCCAATGCCAATGTTTCTCAAATGGCCACTTGCAGCTCCAAAAGTAGGTCAGCCTTCTTTAAACTACCCACAGCCAGCTACAATATGCATGTGTATCAGTGGATGTATGGCCATTAATTAGAGTTACTGAACTGGATCTCTTGTGCTTTTGGAGGACTTAATATGATTAGCCTTCTAGTAGTATTGGTTATTGCCAAATACAAGAAATCCAATTTAAGAATAAGTTTATGCTTACATTTTGATGAGTGAAGGTCTAGAGTCTCTTTCTTAACACTAACTAGCCAATAACTGAGCACAACACTCATCCAAATATGGTCCAAAAATAAAGAGTCAGATAGCAGTGGGTAATATTAATGTCACATCTTTAATATACCGTCTTTGAGTAGAGCTCCATAGCAGCTGATGGATTTCTGTTATAACCTTGGCACAACATAATGTGAACACTCCCATAATTTGATAACTGATCTGTTGTATTTTATTAGACCTCACATCATCAGAGCTTTCTTTGTTAATGTATTAAATGAATTATTAACAATTTTTTCAAATTTTACATCACACATGTTGGACAAAGTGGTTAGCAAGATGAAACTCCTTTGTTTACGATGCTATATCACTGAAGCTCGTTTACTTGCTAATGGTCATTGTGTTTCCATATGAAGCAGCAATCATAACTGATCCCAGAGCAGTAAAAGCTGAGAGTGGCTTCGTATACGGGTCTCTCCTTAGTTAACGGTGAAATACTAGTGCTTTATCCACAAGGAACATGTGCAAACCTCCAGAAAAAAATCTGCTAGCATTTTAGCCTTAGGTCGAGTCTTAACGGGAGATAAACACACTGGTTTGACAGAGAAAGGTGCAGTTTCCTATGAGCATGAAACAAGCGCAACTTTCAGCGAGTTGCAAGAAGGCAGTAATGTAAATGATGGCTACACATATTAATTGACAGTTGAGATGATGATGATGATGATGAGATAGCCTTTATTTGAGGAGCTTTATGACATCACTGTCCAAGATGAAAGGAGAGAGATTGCTTTTACTGTGGTACATTTTAATGTCTGTTCCTTCTTCTTCTTTTTTAAAAAAAGTATTCAGTGTATTTTTCCCTCTCTTCACAGATTTAAATGATACAAAACAACAGGTGTTACTTCACAAGCACTTTAAAAAAACAAATCACAGATTAAACACCTCCTCAACACTTAAAGGACAGCCAAATTACTACTTCCTTTTGTACATCGCAGACATTGCTTCAAAGCGCACAGCAGTTGATGTGTCTGTATCTCCTCTCATAATGCTGTGGATCCAGGGCAAATACGAGGAAAGCTTCATATACACTGCGTGCTTGTACCTAGTGCAGGATTTATCATAGGAAAGGATCCCTGCAGCATATATGTCCCCAGTTTCAGGATCTGTGACAGCCAGAGCGCCACCTGCATCCCCAAAACAGACATTCTCCTGATATTCTGTGGCAGCAGTGCAGATCATGTCATCATCTACAGTTGGCGTGAGTGCAAGACTTTCATATTCAGCCCTACACTCAGAGTGATTGGCCAGGGGGACTACGATGTGTTTGAGAAAGGGAGAAGGGGTGAGAAGGGGTCCCCAGCCCCATCCAGTGATAATTCCTGACCCACGCACAGCCTTGGCCAGGTCCTGGCCTCTCTCTGGTAATGGGATGGGGGTCACTTTATCATTTATAACGACAGGCTGCTTCAGCTGGATCAGAGCCAGGTCGTTGTTCCAGTCAGACTGGTTCTGAAAGCCTGGATGGAGAACAACCTGCAGGAGGGAAATGCAAAAGTTTGTTCTTAAATTTGATGTTGCATTTAGCTTTGTATTTTTTTTTCACTTTCAAGCAGTGCTTCCTAACACAGAATAAACATGTAATGAAATATGAAGTAAGAGCCATTAAAATGATGACAAATTTCCCGCTGATAATAAATTTTAAGGTCTAAAGACACGTAAGTATGCCAGATTTCAAAGAAGTTCATAAAAGGTGATATATTTTCACATGAATCATTTGGTCTCATTCAGTAGAATTCACATCACTCACCCTGAAGGTTTGAACAAATCTTTTTAAGCTCAGAAATGCTAGCAACTACGTGGTGTTAAAAAGCAATCCTTTCATAACTTAACTTTGACTTTAATGAAAAAGATATCCGCATACTTGATGATTTTATAAATTTGTGGAACCTTAAAAACATGGTGTGTATGGAAATGACAGAGCAAGAAAACAAAAGAAAAACAAACATAGAGTAAAATAATATAATTCTTGACTCTACAACAGTTTCCTTTCCTCACCTTCTCAACAGCAACCTCATTGGAAGATTTAGCATCATCCTTTTTTGTAATTCCCAGGTACACTTTGGGGATGACAGGCTCCTGTCCCTGAATGTCCTCCCGACTCTTCCTAACAAAAAGGTTTCTTCCAGCCGTCAACACCCAGCGGTCAGAGATGAGAGCACCGCCTGCATAACCTCCATCCAGTATGCTCTCAGCAATGTAGACCATGGCCTGCCAGGGCACATGAGGAGCCAGTTTCCCACCAACCATTCGCCTGGAGCGGAGTGATGCTGTCCTGGAGGCTGGGACGTTAACGCAGACATTCTTATTTATAATCCTGTCGATCCTGTCAAATATTGTCTTGGCCTACAGTTCAAGTTTACAAAATATAGTCCATCACAAAAAAGCTTCGTCATCCACATTTTACAAAAACTATTGACCTCTGGAGACCATTTATCCACATATTGGGACACTAGACGTTATACTCGACCGGCACCTCATACTTTAATTCTGCTCAGTAAAGTGTTTAAACTCATTATCAACCTCTTTAAAATACTTTCTGTTAAAAAAGGATAATTTTTTTTACCTGTGATGTCCAACTAAATCCTAACAAAAGTTTGGGTCGTAAGTTAATGTGTTTAGATGGGTTAGTGTGACTGACAAAGGGCAGCATGGTGGTGCAGTGATTAGCATTGTTGCCTCATAGCAAGAAGGTCCAGAGTTTGACTCCACCATCTGGCCAAGACCTTTCTGTGTGGAATTTGAATCTTATCTTCTAGTACTCTAGCTTCCTCAAATAGTCCAACATGCAGTTATTGGGGTTAGGTTCACTGATGATTCTAAATTGCCCAAAGGTGTCAATGTGAGTGCGAATGGTTGTCTGTCTCTATGTATTACACATGTGAGACTGGTGACTAGGGCTGGGCCATATCATACTATTCACGGTAGTACAGGTATAATGTTAGGCAAGGATAAGAAAATGAAATATCGCGATAGAATATGGGTAAAAAGGGCATTCGCAGTGTCTTTGTTTTCATACGCACATGACGGAAAAAGCATAGCGGCGATGGAGAACGAGAAGGGCAAAAGCGGATCGTTGAATGAAACGGATGAACCAGAATTGGTTTTTAAAAACGTGCAACTTCAGTGATGTGGAACCGGTTTGGTTTTTGTCCATCAGATAGCCACCAAAGTACTTTTTTGTTTTGTAGAACATGTAAGCGGACCGTCGTTATTGCTGTATTTTTCTGACTATTTTTCCGACTATAAGGCACTCTCAAAAATCGACAGTGCACCTTATAATCCAGTGCGCCTTATGTATAAATTCTGATTCATACATACGTGTACCGATTTTATGTGGTACCCAGCGCTCAAAAATTTGTCAAATGTTTTAGTACGACTTTGCTAAGCTACGAACCCACAACGCTTGATGGATTGTTGGAGCATTACGGCTGCCGTAGTCAGGAGCCACCCGGAGTGATACGTACTGTGGTTCAACATAATATTACCGTATTGTGTGTGTATAAGGACCCCAAAATGGCACCTGTTAAGAGACATGCGTATGACGCGGATTTTAAACTCAAGGTGTCACGCAGTACAACTTGGGAACAGAGCAGCTGCGAGAAAATTCAGCATTAATGAGTCAATGGTACAGAAGTGGAGGAAGCAAGAAGAATGCGTTGAATAAAGTTAGACTTATCTGACTGCTTTATTTTGCTTAATGCGCCTTATAATCCCATGCACCTTATGGTCTGAAAAATACGTATTTGACTTATTTATTTGGCACACTGCAGTTTCATGTTGCAAAGCACCTCTTTTAAACTTTTGTGGATATTATACATGGTTATGCTCATGATATGTCCATATATTCCACTGGAAATGCCTTTTGGTTAAACTGTCAGCAAGGCATTTGCACTGTTACATTTTTATATAGCTTGAATGCACATAAAAAACTGCTACTTGTTTAAGTGAAAATACATTGATGGAGGTTTTTTGCACTAATAAAGTTGTGGAGTTGTAAACTATTTTGTCTCGCATCAGTTACATCGTCAGTTATATCGTCGCCGCAAATTTTCAAATATATCCCTCCATTCAAATTGGTTGAATTAAACATTTAAAGTAAACTACTGTGCTTTGCTGCAACTCTTAGCCCTACATAATTTGCACAAAAAACAACATTTATGCCCATAATGCTGACTTTAAGTAATGTGATCACATGCACATTTTCCATGTAATTTTGTCACATAAACACAATCTAAACCATTCAGTTTAATGGCATCTGGTCAAATGCAAGTACAGAGTATAGATCTTTTGTTATAATCCTGTAGTATCTTTGTTTTCATTCATTTTATAGTATAAAGTGCTTTGAGATTACTTTTATTGTCATCTTAATTTTTTTTTTTTTAATGAAGTACAAATTTTTGGTATTCCCATAAATTCTGATTCATTTGTTGTTGTTTTAAAAAAAACCCAGCTTGCAATCTTTTCATTGCCTGAAACTGTCACAAATGTTATGTTTGACTCGCTCATCCTGTTTTGCTGCTTTCTAATTTGTTCTCTCTCTGTCTTAATGAGACCTCCTGCATAAACGGATATATAGAACATGTTTGTTTTAGGCGTAGACCTTAAGGACACTTTGTCAGTTTGAGCATTTCTGCTTTGTTAACAGCACTTTTGCTCTTTCCCATTTTCCCTCAAGTAGAACTTAAACCTAATTAATAAAACATGATCTGCTTGATGTCAGGCTTGTCACGTTTTACTTTGTGCCCTTCAGTCATTAAAGAATATTGTTATCTCTTCCTGCTTTTTCAGCAGAGCTTTTCCATCTGAATACAACACTTTCTTGCTCTAAAAAGCCTTTTCAGAAACAACAGCCTTTAAATAATGTATCATGGAGCAAATTATGGGATCTGTTCTCTGTGCTTTTAATCCACTAGGCTTTTGTGTGGCTGAGATAATCATGAAGACCGCTTTGACTAATATATTGATAGCTCCGTTCAGCACTGAAAGACTATCATCAATTTTCTTCTAATTTTACATTCTTCTGGCAGAATTAATATACCAAGAATGAGTTCCAATATTTTGTTCATTTATTGTATTAAGTACAGCACATAATGGATTACAAGAAATGAACAACTTATTATTTTAACACATCACAGCAACAATGAATGGATTTAGTATCTGTGCTACATTTCTTGTTTTCTTTGTCTCATTATGTTAATATTTTTAATAAACAATAGCATCCTTTGTCTTATTACAAATGTCTTTTTCATCACGTCTCCAGTGGGTTCAGTTATCTTTCACTGGAAACTGATTGTTTGGATTATTGCAAAGTTTTTATCAGCTGTTTGAGGAGAAGCAGGGAAGCAGAAGATTTCCCTTTCAAAGGCAGTAGCCTCAGAGCCAAATGAAGGGAAAAAAAGAGAAGTCACCAGTCCTCAGATCCCTCAGGAAAGCATGTGTCATTTAATGCAGGAGTTATCTGTCTGAACAGCAGCTGCAGAGGAGGTTTCGCTATAACCCAAGGGTGTCAAAGTCATTTTAGTTCAAGGAATACATGAAGCCCAATTTCATCTCAAACTCATATTTAATACCCTGATATTTATAAATTGTTCCCTTTTAGTTTAAAGAAGTATAAGAGCTTTCTTGCAGTAATCAAATTGAATGGTATACCCATTTACAGAACTGATGAACAGCCTACATTTTAAAAAAAGCAAATTTGGCAGCTCTCATACCACACTGTGGTATGCAAATGTGTTAGGTTGCAAAAATAGACCAACAATATACGAAAAAAGTCTAGAAACAATGGCCTATATTTTTTGCAGCTGTTACTGTAATTTGCAAGCCCACCCAACTGGCATGATTTGGAGCCCTCTCACAGCCCACTTCTATGTCTGACACAGCTGGTGAAAACTGTTTTTTTCACAGCTTTGAACTTTGTGGGTGCTTGAAGTGAAAAAGCGGCTGCTGCTGCTGATACTGAAGGAAGTGCAGTGGTAAATGTCACAGTAATCTGAGAGTATGGCAGTAAGTCAAAATGCGGTTTGTTCCACACTCATTGATCGGAACAAAGCTGGAATGGATTACCATAAAATTTCATGTACACAACAATATCATAGTGGTATTCCCTGTATATTGTCATTTTGTTTTAGTTACGTTTCCGAATTTACAAAATCAGTTCAGTTAGTTACAGTTAATTATTTTTAAAAGTCCTATTTATATGTAATTAACAAAAGTTGTAGTTTTTAGTTTAGTTTTGGTTAAACGTTACTGAACTTTACTGAGACCCATATTTAAACTGCAACCGTTTTGATTTTTATTTTTTTAACTTGTGGTTTTTAGAAGCGATGAAATGTTTCTCCAACTGAAAACGCAACATTGAGATAAGAGAATCAGCTTTCAGGGTAACTTGATGATGCTTGAATACTTTTAACTATCCGTGTTTGAATTATTTGGCTTTATGCTGTTATTTCTTATTCCGAGGCCAACTGAGCCTACTATACTGGCTGACTGATCTTTAGCTGTGATAACCTCTGATTATTCTGCTGACATTCAAAACAAGTTGCTCTACAATCTGCAAAATTAATGACTTCTTTTTGTAGTAAGTGCTAATTAATGTCAATTGTTAGAATGCTTACATGGATATTTACATCACTGGCTTACTTATAAAGCAAGATATGACATGATAAACATATCTGTTAAATATCAGCTGTCACGGTGAGCCAGTTAGCGTGCTGACGTCTCAGTTTGACTGAAAGCAGCATTGCTGTTTAAGGCTTTTTTTTTATTCTTGGCTGGTCAAATACTATACCATGCAGAAACCTTTTTGTTACATGAAATATTGAAATAAAAAGCTTATTTCGAATTAAGAGTTTGTGTGTTACCTAACACAGAGCCTTTCATCCTTTCTTCAGCATGAGCCACATCTGCCAGGCAGGCCCACGCAGCCAGGACGACCACAGTCAGAGAAAACCTTCACACGACAACAAGAGAGAGAAATGATGAATAAAAATTAAATGCCTCTGCTTCTGTGGGTCGGTGGAGCTGGGAGCAGATAAAAAAATTGAATGAGAAACTGTAAGGAGTCAGTTATTCAGTTACTGAGATCAATATTTCAGCATTTGATTTACAGCATGTAGGAAATGATAGATGACGAATGGAAAACCTTTCATGGTAAAACAATGCTTTGATTTATGGATTCTAATTATTAAGAGATTTGATGAAAAACAAAAAATAATCCAACTTACGCCATTCTGTGGATCATATTCATCTTCTTCAACAATGCTAAGTCTCTTCTGTCGAGTGTGTTGTGCATTTTTCTGCTGGGAGTATTTATATCTGCTCAGAGGCAGCACCTCTGCTCTGGAAATTTCTGTTTAGAACAAAAGCATCGATTCCTGAAATCTAAAATAAATAATTGTGCAATCTGACTTTTATTCCTCTATTCAGACGCTCTCTAAAGACTAGAGTCAGGGTGCATACAATCTGGGGCACATCCATCTTTTGTTAATATATATGATATATTTTGTTGTATAATAAACTGAATTAAATTAAGTATAAAAATGCACAATGGCAAAATACCATAGCACAGTGGTAAAACGTGTTCATTTCTGCTGGTTTAGTCTATTTTTTTATTTTTCTTCTTTTTTGTATTTTAACACTTTAGCTCAGCAGTGGATCTAACGAACTGCAGGTTTTGTAATTCTGTGTTTTTTAATTTTGCAAAGTATAACAGTTTGTACTTTGGTCATAGATTTACTTCATAGTTTACTAAAGGTAAACAGTGCTGACGGATTCTGACACACTGCTATCACTTGTGGATGAGAAGTATTTTGCAACACTGTGTTCTGTTTATTTTGTTATTACACAAAACGAGGTTCAGATGAATGGGTTTGTCTGTAGGGAACAAAAACGCAGCATTTCATCAGATTCATGGAAGTAAATAGTTACCTTGTGCTGGAATCATTTATATGTGTTTCATGGTGGGAAGTCCAGAATTGAGGCTTTGGGCATTTATTTAACAGAGGCTGTGGAGAGGTTACTCAGACGTGTTCACTACAATGTTCTTATTATTTATTTTGCATTGGGAGTGGTCTAACCAAGGTTGAAACTATCAAGAGGAAGAATCATACAGCCTTAATGCCTAAAATGTTGTGATGCAGTGTAAAATGAAATTAGAGTTTCTCAGAAGTAAAGATGGGCAGAGGGCCCAATATCATCAAAAGACTCTGAGAGAAATCTCTCTGCACAAGAGACAAGGCCGAAAATCAGTACTGGACGCCAATGATCTCTGGGCCCTCAGGCAGCACGGCATTAAAAATAGTCATGGTTCTGTCATGGAAATCATTGCATGTGCTCAGGAACACAGTTAACTATGCTAGCCACGGACGCAGGTTAAAGCTCTATGATACAAGGAATGAGACATATGTGAACATATGTTTTCTAGAATTGCCACGATCTTCACTGGGCCAAAGCGCATCTAAAATGGACTGAATTGAAGTGGAAAAGTGTTCAGTGGTCAGATAAAACAAAATACGTATTTATTTTTGGAAAACATGGAAGATGTGACCCTCTAAAGGGACTAACAGTGCTAGGTTCAAAAGCCTGCATCACTGATGGTATGGGCTGTATTAGTTTGGAATTGGCAGTATTGGCACATGTGAAAAAGGCACCATCAGTATTGAAAGGTATATACAGGTTTTACAGCAACATATGCTCTCACTATTTATTATTTAAGGGAAAGCGTTGCATATTTCAGCAAGACAATGGTAAACCACATACTGCATCTATTAGAACAGCATGACCTGCATGCAGTCCAGACCTTTCACCAGCTGAAAACAATTTGGAGCATCATCAAACAAAAATATGGCAAAGAAGGCCCAGGACTAGAATCCTATATCAGACGAGGCTATCCTCAATTTCCTGACATTTATGGGCTGCTGTTAAAAGAAGAGGGAATGCTGCACCGTGGTAAACAGGCCCGGTCCCAAGTTTCTTGAGACACGTCAATGACATCAAATTCAAATTAGACTCAATATTTTCCTTAAAATTTCCACTTTTTTTTCATTTTAAATGTTCAATATGTAAATAAAATATGAGATTTGCATTGGATTCCGCTTTTATTTACATGCTACACAGAATTAGGCTTGTATCTTATAGTGTTTGCAACACGTATTGAGGATTTTGGATCACTGCGATAGATCTTCAAAAGACCAACTGAGGGAACTGCTTATGGACAAATCATATTCTTCCCTCCAGTAAAGTTCAGACTTGCAGAATCAATGCCAAACTGAAGGGAAGCTGTTTTGGCAGCTTGTGCTGGCCTGACACATTTTATTTTGTGTTCATTTTTTTATGAGTACTGACAGAAAATGTGTGGAGGCCATTATGCTCTCATTCTCAGTCATGCATTAAAAACTATCAGTAACTGACTAGATAGATTTAATATTCATGCTCTGTACTTAAAATATAGTCTTATTAGGTGTGAAGATTTGACTTCTAGGGAGCCCTGAGAAACATTTCCTAAGGGTAATCAGTTTAAGAACATAACTTGAGACACAGAGCTGTTCATTTAGGAAGCACTTCTGTTCTCTGAAAGTCAGCATTTCAACCTCATCACCATGTCAGTGGATGCAAACTACACAGATCATGCAAATATTTTTCTGGGACAGAAAATGTCACAAATGTTTGTTCTTTACCCAGCTTTGTTAGCGGCATTGCTCTGGAAGGCAAGGTTGAGTAAAGTTGCTATGAATCAAGAGTATGTGGGAATGGCAGGAAAAATGTACACAGACAGAAGTTAAACCTGCATTCTTTATGATGACCAACAGAGGGCGACTCCTCTGATTGTGGAAACAAAGTAAAAAAGAAGGAAAGGAAGGGTTGACAAATCACTAACACATGTGCTGTCCCTGATCTTATAGGAACTTCATTCAGGTTAATACTGCATGTTTTATGTTGGATTATTCACAGTGTGACTCCCACCAGAGCTTGAGCCATTCAGTTTGTCTGCAGGCGCCACACAGCAATAGATACAGTATGTATAGCTGACAGTGCTGTACCATCAAAACACGTGTCACTCAGGTTGGTAGGCCTCCAAATGTAATCAACCAGAACAGAAACCAGGCTATAGCTCCCTGACTATAACATGGGATATGTCCTATTTATTTGGCAGATTTGCAAACCCCTTGAGGATTAAGTTACATAAAGCTGCTCAGCACGTACACTGTTGTTTATTCCTCAGGCCTCATCAACATTTCTTCAGCCGAATGCTTCAATTTCCTTTTCAATCTCAGTGCATTTGCTGTTGAATGACTTCAGCCCGTCTCGTGGAGATTTTGTTAAGGCAAGAGCAAATCAGTGCTGTGTCCTTAAACCTGATGTTCAGTGTTTCCAATCATATTTGAAGGTAGGAGGTCTCACTTGAAAGCTGTAGTCTTTTCTCCCTGAGGAAAACAACAGAGGATGGATGCGACCCTCAAGCTAGACAAGCTTTGCACATGGGCCCAGACCACTAGGGGCAAACGATGGGTGCCATTGAAATGGAGCTAGAGATGATTTTCAGCAGCACAGGCACGTGAAAAGTTCAAAAGTGAAAGCATGTAAGAAAGCTACAATAAGCTTGAAGACAAAGAGTCTATGCAGATAATGAGGCGTGGACTGAAAGTGAGAGTTCAACAGCAACAGAAGCTCTGAGACACAACAGCATGACAGATGTTCAGAGCACCAAGGACCAAAGAGAGAAGATGAGAGAGGGTGGGGGGAGACACATGAGAGGCCAAACATGGGAGGGAAACAAAAAGAGAAAGGGAGCAAAGTGCCTCTGTGGACTTTACCTTGAAGCTCTAGGGAAAGACCGTGTGCATGTGACAAGCTGTAGAGAGGGGAAACAGTGAAGTAGTGGGGACTGGAGATTAAGCGCTCAATGCAAGGAGAGATAGTGGGAGGAAGGAGAGGGGAGAGGCTGAATCACATGGACAGAGAGCCGGAGTGTGTGAGAGGCTTTGTGCTTAATGTGTGCTTCTCGGGAGAATGAATGATGAGGACTACAGCTCCACTTTCTTCTCCACTGGACAGTGTTTAACAGGAATTTATTCCCACTAAGTCAGCATCTAAATACTGGATTTTGTTCCTGCTGTCAACCTCTGTCTTGCCAAGTGCTCTGAGGAAATGCCGGTAAGATTGTCTCATTAGATTTCTTGTTAATTGTGTTTTGATTAAATGACAGCAGCTCTTTTATTTTGACAGTATTTCAAAGACACAATTTCTTGATAATATAAGGCTAAATCCCCACGCTGTATGCATTTAGCTCTGAATATTAACTCATAATTACTCACTTAACAGAATTAAATTGTAATGTGTAACATTTAGAAAACTACTATAATTATTTAAAGCATAAGACTTATATTTTCACTTTAAGTTTACCAAAATATTTATATTTTAAATAGTCCTCTTTGCATTTTTCTGTGCTGGTTGTTATTGGACACAAACATTGAGTAGCTCTCTGCGGCCACACAGATACGTGTCTCGTTCAATTTCAATGATATTTTTCACAACAGTTGTTTTTAGTGTTTTTATTTTCTTCTGTTTTATTAAACAAGAAAATTTCTTCAGTTGGAAGCTTTTTAAGAAATCCTAATCAGTGTAAGCTAGCAGTGTCAGCCTAATCAACCCTTCAGTGCTTTGTATTGGGGAAAATGCTTCATACTAACCTGCTAATCTGTCAGGTGTATCATGCTTGGTGTCTGACCATTCAGGCATGCAGCAGCTGTTGGCTGAGTCCAGAGGTGGGTGTGATGTCTGTTAGCTGTGCATAATTTCGATAGGGACAGACAGGATGTAAAGACATATGGACAAGTCCAGAAACACATGCTCTGATGTAAAAAGTTCTTCCTCTTGTGGGTGAATGGGACTTTTCAAATGTATTTAGTTCATTATTAAATACCATTACTGGGAAACAAGGCAATAGCAATCCTTGAGAACCATGATATCACTGACGGAAACAGCTTTTAGAAATTGTAGTGTAATTTTAAAGAAACATAGGTTTTAATTTATAAATTATTTATTTCTATTTTTTTTTCTCCCGGGAAACAAACCTGAGAAGAAGGGTGTAAATGTAAAAGTGTAAACTGGACATTTGTCAAATGTTTGATATGTTTTTACAGTTAAATACCAGAATGTCAAGTCTGTGATGCACGGTTTCTTTTATTCAGTTTGTTTGGGATCATTTAAAAATCCCTCAAACTGTTTTTGTTCTTCTTGTTGTTCTTGTACTCTCTAAGTATTCATTTGTTACCCTAAATGCACAGCAAAGACCACACACAGAAAAAGAAA